CATCCTATGAGATTACAGTCCAATTCTGAAGGGGCCTCCAGGATCTCAAGTGAAACAGCATTTCTCTGGCTAAAGTATTACAACCTGGTCAGTATTAGTGACATTGCTATAACTTCCCTCTTTCAATCTACTCAAAAAGCAAAACCTACTAAATACATATGTGTGTGTATATACACACACACACCTATAATATATACCATTACTTATATACACATATATAAAGTATGTATCTTATATACACATATATGCTATGTATATATTCAAGTAATGATAAATGTAAGATATAAACTCTAATACGTTATGAAGTGACTTAGGAATATTGTGATGATGCAACAATTTATCCAACACTGAGATTTGCTCTTAAAGCATCTTAAACTAGTTAACAGAAATTCTTCTGAAAATATCAGTTGTAAAGTTAAATATTTTAAAATATTTGAATCTTTTATAAAGGTGGATTATTCTTCTAGCTAAAGAAAAAAGATCAAACACAGTATGAAGACTTTGTAACACCTTTTAAAAGCCTCATTACTCTGTAAATAGTAAAGCATTCTATAAATATCTGTGTATGGCTCCTGCAGATCAACTGCAATGGGGATGTGCAAGCTTCCCCACATTAAAAAACAATTCTTTGATCCTAGCAGGGTGTTGGAGAATTTTACTCAATTGTGACATTGTCTACCCAGAGATAGCATCAAATCCCACAGGTTAAGGAGCTCAATCTTCCAAGACATCCCACTGTGTGACTCACCAATCACAAGACCAGGCTATTACCTGTGCTTTTGACAGACTGGCAATACATCAGAAATTTCCAGGACACCCTCCTCAGGCTTAACTAATTTGCTTGAGCAGCTCATTGAACTCAGGAAACCCACTTACTCACTAGGTCAGTGATGTTATTACAAAGGGTATTATTCCGGATCAGGCAGATGGAAGATATAGATAGCAAGAGGCATGGGGAAAAGGCTAAGAATTTCCATGCACCCTCCTGGTAAATCATTCTTCAAAACGTTTATGTTTACCATCCCAGATACTCTCCAAAGCTACCTTTGGATTTTTTGTGGGTGCTTGCTTACTTCCTTATGTGGACATGAGTGACTAAGCACTGGCCATTGGTAACAGAACTCAAGCTCCAACCCCTCACTCCTCCCAGCAGGTCTGGGGGTGGGACTGTTAGTTCCAAACCCTAATCACAAGACTAGTTTCCTCACCAGCTGCGGGTGCTTCCCCCAAAAGTGGCCTCATTGACACAATGAGACATCTTTATCACTATTAACACTTAGGAAATTCCTAGGTGTTGGGGAGCTATGAAAAGGATGAAGACCAAATGAATATGAGAAATATATTATCATCGGCTAACCAAATATATATTTTTTAAAAATCATAGTAATGTATGACATCATCAGATATTCAGGGAAAAAATTCATTGTATCTTGCAAAATAAAACTTAGACATCATTAAGTAAAGAAAACTACTTTTGATTGTATAGTGATTATTCTGAAAAAGTACTATCAGATCAGACATAAACCAAAATACATAAAAAAGGCAAGTTAATGCTTTAGAAGTCCATACTACCAATCTTTATACTGTCAATAATAAATTGCTTAGAGGACATTGTAAAATCATAATCCATAGGCAGCAATCAACATGCTAGAACTAAATATAGAAAACATTTAAAAATAGGCAGTAGTCCAGGAAGAAAGGTTCTTTAGCATTCCTAAAATATAAATTGTGTGGTCAGTAGCTGAGTCACCAAGCAGTTTACAGACTAATTTTACCATTTATCTACTTTCTGACTGCATTAAGACATTTATAGGTATTATTATTTAAAATATACAGTATATTTACACTTGTATAGTATTATAGCTTAAGCTGAAAAGGTCTATATTTATAGGGATACTTAATAAATATTTCATCTTTCTATCATGCTTTTATTAAAAGGCAGTCCTGTCATCACTGACCTACATGTAAAAGCTAAAACTTTAGGACTTCTAAACAAAAAAAATTTGCAATCTTGCAGTAGGAACATATTTCATGTATAGCACATAAAAGCATGAATCATTAAAGAAAAAGTTATTAGTTGGGCTTTCTGCTTAATGATATAAAACATGTTCAAAAGACATTATTCTTTAAAAAAGCAAACTATACTGTGAGAAAATATTTGCAAAGCACAGATTTGATAAAGGACTTTGGTCATGTGAGGGGATGGCGAGGGGGCAATTTTCCCTGACTGAGAACCAGTTTCATAAGTAAGTTTTGTTTGTCCGAAAGTTTCATATAAATGGAATTACAGCACATGCACTCTTTTCTGCCTGACTTCTCTGCTCAGCATAATGTTTTTGAAATTATCCACCTGGTCACGTGCATTAGTGGTTCATTCCATTTTTGGTTTATCCATTCATTTGATGGTGGGCATTTGTGTTTTTCAAGTTTTGGACTATAAGAATAAAGCTGCCAAGAACAATCCTGTACAGATTTTTCAAAGAATACATTTTTCACTTCTTTTGCTTAACACCTAGCAATAGAATTGCTGGGTCATATAGTTAATATTAAGCTTTTGAGAAACTGTTTTCCAACTGTTCTACCATTGAAATTTCCCATTATCAGTGCATTAGAGCTCCAATTTACATGCATTCCTCCAACACTTAGTATTTTCAGTCTTTTTATTTAACTTATCCTAGTGAGAGTGTGTGGTATCTCATTGTGGATCAATTACTCTGAGGATCAGAGCTCCTTTTCCTGAGCATTTTACCATTATCATAACTTTATTCTTGCCACTAGCTTATCTTTTTTGGTGAAGTATCTGTTCGCATCATGTCTTTTCCTTGGTTAAAAAAAATGTTGGGGGGTGGTGAGGGTACTTTTATTGAAAGAAGTACAATGAGGGCGGCAAGCAACTGTGGGGAGTGTAGCGAACATTTGCAAAGAGGATATCAGAGCTGGGGTTTTGAAGGAGGTTAAGATACAAAATAGATGTGAAAGGCACAAACTGATGTAAAAATAAGCTATTATATTATATATGAAATATATATATGTGTACCCACTGAGAAAAAGTCCATATTAGATAAGGGGATCTATTGAGGATGTACTTCGATAGAAAATGCACTGTACTTTTGCTGAATCTGAGTTTCTCAGCTAAATCTCTGGTCCTATTTAAAGCTACAGAAACAAAAAAAATGGTCAATTTTAACACACTTTAAATTACATATCTAACTTTCTGTTAGTAAACTTCATGTATACCATACATATGTCGTACATAACAACACTAAAACATCTCACACCAGCAGGAAGGGAAACATCTAAAGTGCCTCTCAAAAGGGGGTACTGGGGACCCAGTGTACATCTTTACCATAAGTAACGTTATAAGCACAAGATGATTGGGGTAAAGGATTACTCTGAACTGCAAAAAATGATGACAAGATAAAAAGTAAATGGCAGACAGAACTTGCCGACCCTGCTCCGGAGTGTGCCTGTAATTTTGGAAACTACTGAACTGGCATCGAAATTGGACACAGATTTTATTCAAACCGAAACCTCAATGTTTGGGTGGGAAAGTCATCTCAAAGACAAAAAGGGTTGTTAAGTGGATCTGACTTTGCCGAGCAACTTTGCTGAGTATTCCCCATTCTTTTCGCGCTCGACTTTAAATCAAAGAATTACAGTAAGCAATTTAAGAAACATTATTTCCTGGTGGCGGTGATTCAGGTAAGAGGAGGAAAAGGAATAAACGATGACAGCGATAAGCTAGTTTACGAGGGAACCTTCTGGTAGTCGGTGAACTAGAAACTGGATATTGTATAGATACAGACTCCAAAGGGGAGCCGGGCGCAAACGTCAAGTCCAGGCAAAGGTAGGAGGGAGAGCACAGTCACGCCAGATCCTTCTGCTTCCACCTCCAAAGGCGTCGCCCCCGCCCCCAGCCCATTCTCTCGAAAACGTTCCCAATTCCCAGAAATGCTCCCTCCCCCACTAGGGCTGTGCAACCCCAACAACACCGACGGGGCGACAGGCTGCGTTCACTTACTGAGCTGTCCCCCGCCCGACGTCGTACTGGGCTCCCGACCTCCAAGGCCTCCGACGCCCGCGGCTCCAGGGATGCCCGGCGCCCCCATCCCCGGCGGGGTCCCACTCTGCCTCTCGAAGTTGCCCGGATTGGAGAAGTAGTCGCGCAGCCGAGGCAGCTCGCGGCCGCTTTCTAACAGCTCAGTGTGCAGCTCCAGGGCTGTCAGCAAGTATTGATCGCGCAACAACTGAGCGGCGATCGCATCAATTGACAATCGGGCCGGGGTCTCCCCAGGGCCCCCCAGTGTCATCGCAGCCGCCGACGCCTCCCCAGGGACCCCTGGCCGCGCACTGCTTCCTAAAGCCACGGGATCCTGGGGCGATAGCGAGTCCGCAGAGCCGGGATCGAGGCCGCTCCCTGCACCCAGCCGAAGTCCTGCACGTCGCTCCTCGTTCGCTGCTACCTCGTCGTCGTCCTCATCAGAATCGCTGAGGAAAGGATTCACACCGCCGCCGCCACTGCCACTGCCTCCAGGCGCCATCGCCGCCATCTTATCCAGTCTGGAGTGTGGGCGCCTCCCTCACTGGCTCTGACAGGCCGCAGCCTGAATCCCCACTAAGTCTCAGCAGGCACCGAGCACCTCCACAGCCCGGGGCCCGGCCGGGCCGCGTCCCGTCTCCCCACCCGGAGACCAGGCGTAGGCGCGGACGCAGAGGATCTGGAGGTAGCAGCAGCCGCTGCTTCAACCGCTGCTGCACCAGCAGCCCAGCTCTGCAGGCGTCTTCCTGGTCTCCAATCTCGCGAGAAAAGGAGCGGGTCCTGCCCCCCTCTTTCCACCTGAGCCCGCCTCCGCCCCGCCCACTCCAGCAAAGATTGAAGGCCTCGCTCTCCGCTCAAAGGCAAAACCCAGCCCTCGCTCCTGTTTGATTGGTCGGAGGAGAGGGCTGGAATGACGAAGGCGGGCCCTGAAGTTCTCGCGAGAACTGTGGCGGGTCAGGTAGCAGTCGGGGGCGTCCCGCGATTGGGGGGTGTTTGGGACTGTGTTTTAGTAGCTTTCTCGTAGCTGTAGGTTCTAGGGATCGCGGGGGAACTGCTGCAGCGCTGGGTCCTGCCATCACACGGAAGCGGCCTCTCTTCCAAGATCTAGCTGACCCGGACAAGCCCCAGGTAAAGGCAGGGGACCTGTGCACCAGTGCGGGGACTCCGAGACAGGTGTCACGCCCGCTGGCCCGCGCCGCCTTAGCCGACTGTTTGTTTACTGCCAGTCGGTGACTTTCTCCGCACGTGTAGCAGGTGCCCAGGATTTGGCTTCCTTTCTCTTCCGTCCCTTCTCATCCACGTGCCAGCTCGGCCTGGAGCCAGGGGACCGCTCTGCCTTATTCCTTTACTGGGAGAACGTCTTCCTGCTCTTTATTAAAGGGCGGGGCGGGGCGGGGCGAGATGTGGGAGGTTCAGAGAGTAAAAGGTTTACTTTTGCTTGATTCTGTGAATACCCCGGTTGCCTCTGCTTGGATAAATAGCAAACTCTTAGGGTTAAGTGAACGCCACTAAACACACAGCGTACAGCGTCATAGGTCCTTCAAAATCTCTCTGGTACCAAGAGTAGAAAGATAACGAAGTTAAGTCTAAAGACTTTTGATGACTTGGTGGAGTCAACCGGGTCAATGAGTCCTCAAAGGAACTAAAATCAGTTATTTTAAGTGCAAAGTCATCTTTACCTTCTGTGTCTTGCAACCTGTCTGACAGGAGAGTTGAGGCTGGAATAAAGGTTATGAATTTGTTTTTGAATTTGCATACTTTAAAACAGTTTCATTTTCTTTATCAAATGTTAGCACATAAATAGCTTAAGTTGGGAAGTTTAGTAGTTTAGTTTATCTTTCATATCATTCCTTGATTACAAATCGAAGTGGTAAAGGAAATGTTAGTTTCTAGTCTATCTCCTCCCATAAATTGGCACTTTTAAAAGTTTTAGGTTTACTTTCACTCAGTGTAGCTTCCCTTAAGAACCAAAATAAACAGGTAGTAGTAATTGTATTATCAGGTAAGTTACATATTACAGCAAAACAGTAAGTATATCCTTTAGCTCTGTGGAAAAATAAAAATAGAGCTTTAGGTGACGTTATTGGTTCACATGTGATCCTGTAGCAACAGTTCATTGTAAGACTTTAATTTCAGTTTACCCAGACTTAGTAAACTACTTTTTTCATTTGAATGAGTCTTTTTTTTTTTTCATATTTGAGGGGAAAGGAGACGTTATTATTGAGAGTTCAAAATTTTTTTAGCGTATTGGTTCCTAAAGTTCTAATTCTAAATATTTGTCTGTGCTGTGTATTAGAGAAAATAATGGAAAAAATCCCTGATCTCACAAAAATGTATCAAAATAGCCAGAGCTATGACCTGTTACATATTTCTTAACAAAAAGAATTGCTGATCATTACTGTACATGAGTTGCAGAGAGAGATTAAAAGTAGAAAAATGTCTAGAATGTAGGAATGAGGGGGATTAATGAATGACTTGGAAAGGGCACAATTAGAAATGAATTGTTGATATATTTCAATGGGGAATTCTAGAAATCTCCTGTACTTAGAGTTCCTGGAGAAGATAGTGATTATGAAATAGAAAAACTAAAGTTCATATCCTTGTTCTGCCAATTATTTGTTGAGGCTTCTCTCAGCCTTACATTCACCTGTCAATGCTATCCTGCAGGTACACAGAATTAGAAATGTGTTTACCATACTGTCTGTTACCTTCAACACAATTAATCTCATTTTTGTAGCTATTTATCAATTAGTGCACATTACTTTATATTGAGAATATTTGACAGGTTTTAAAAAACAAAACAAAACAAATATCAATAGCAGCTCAAGTTAGGAAAAGCAATTAAACCTAGTATCCAAAGGATTATCTTTAATTTAGGGTCTGAATATAAACTGTAAGTTGAAAATAGATTTAAATTATGTTTCCTCAGACTTTTCAGAAATTGGATCTAGAAATTCTCCTATGATTGCTTTTCTGTGCAAATCTGTACTTCATATCCTATAATCATGGACTTGTTTATATGACTCTTCAAGCTCATAACGCATCAACTGACCAAACTTCACAGTAAGTACTTTACCCACAACACAGAGTGAGCTTTACCTATCATTAGAACTGTTTAAGAAGTAGCATATCCTGGAGTATTAAATATTACTGATTTGTACTTATAATAATTTGTCATTTTTTTAATATTGTTGGGAAATTTTCTTTCTATTTACAGGATTTACTTTAATCTAGGCCTATACAGGCAATGTTTCGTTGAATAATCAGGATAGTCATTAAGGCATGTATCTTAAATGCCTTAGTTTATTAGTTAGCTTAGAAAATGGAAAAGGTTGCCTTTTCTCAAGCATCTAAATAATTTCCTTTTTTTTAAATTTGACTTTATAATCTTAAAATAGCCACAAATGACATTTTAAATGCATTGTTTTGACTAGCATTCTTTTAAAAATATATTATTTTTTAAATTGTTTTTCAGTGTGGTAAATATTCCAGAGGTACAAGTTAAATAACTCTTATTGTTACATGGATATGTGTCTTAAAATTTTTAGTACTTTTGTTTTGGAGGTTTCCAAGTGTTTCAGCCAGAATGGCATTTTTTTCAACAAATTTGAATAAAACATGTTTCTTTTTACAGAGAAATATTAAGTAATAATATTGCTAGCCAAACTTGTGCTTGGCAATGGTAAATTGAGTAGTATGTAAAGGCTGATGTTTAATAGTCAGTGTAATGTTATGTATCATAAGAATTTAGCATAAGAGTTTCTTATTTAAGTGCCCTGAATCGTCACACTTCATGTGTGTGTTCTGGAGGAATGAATGAGAAGTAAGACAGCCTCTAGTGATTATGATGCATATTACATGTACCTTGGAAATAATAATTCTGAATGTTACACAGCCAACATTTGAGTCCTTCCTACTTAATAAAGTGCTTAGGACTGTGATGGGTTCTGTCTTGCTGATCTAGAATTATTGTGAAGTGCTAGAGACAGACATTAATCCAGATAGTTAAAGACATAGCTGTGTAATTAAAAATCAAAGTAAAGGTTTGGTTTCTGACTTGGACTGTGTAGCCCCCGAGAACGTGATTCTAGAAAGTGCAAGTTGATGCTGTGAGATCGTGGGATAGAGGACGATGAAGGGTAGTTTGGAAGTTCTTTCTGTGGAGAGGAGTTTAACCTATGGAGGTGCTATAGCAGAAAGCATGGATATGTAGGACAGTGTGCTGAGATGCTGGAGAACAGAAGGAGCCTGCTTATGAGACAGGGCAAGAGGGGAAGGCAGAGACCCTCCATGAAATGCCTTATTAGATCATGTTAAGTATTTCCTCTTGATTAAGCAGGTGGAAATACATTGAAGGGTTTAATATAAGGGTTGAGATGTTCAGATTTGCACTTTGAAAAAAAAATGAAAGAAAAAGTAATTGGTGAGTATGTAGCTAGAGAATAAATGATAAAGAATGACTCCTAGCTCATTGATTTGCATACCTGAATGGAAGGTGATCTCAGCTCCTGAGGTTGTGAAAGGTTATGTGAAGGAGTTATGAGGGCTACTTTCTAACCAAGGCTCCTGGGAGATTCCTTGAATCCAGTTTGAAACTTGAGTTTGTATTTATTTGAAATATCCAAGTATGCGTGGCCAGTTTGGACTGTCTCAGGATTTGGAACTATAATTTATTGAGACTTTCCCATATAGGTGATAACTGAAGCCAAGGATGTGTTTAAAATACCTAGACAGAAAGTAAAGAGGGAAAAAGAAAAGACAAGGCCTAGAACCAAGTTATGAGTTATTCCAGAATTCCCAAGCAGATAGAGACAATTCTACCTTGTTCAGAGAAGGAGGAGGAAAACTGAAGGAGTCATGTTCAGAGAAGCCAAGAAATTAGAGCTGTTTAAAAGAGAACAAAGATAAGTCATGGAAATAAAGACTTAAATAGCCATTGGGTTTTATGGTATTGATTACCTTGGTGTAAGTTTTCTCTGATGTATTGAAACTAAAGGCTTGTTATAAGTTTAAGAATTAGGTGATCAGGAGAAAAGAACTCCTATGTAGTTTTTAGAACTCATTTAGTTCTTTACTCTTTGATCCTATGTTTATTTTTGTGAGCTTAGCACGCATTTAAATTTGTTATAAATAATTGATGCTGTTTTCCTATACTTCTGCTTATTTTTATTGATGTAACAGTGGTTTACAATATTGTGTGGTTAAAGGAATAGGTTCACACCTGTGCAGATGTGTGTGTCCAAACTACAACTATTACCAAACTAACTGCCGGTTATACACCTTTTTTTTTTTTTGTTCGAGTGCCCTTTATTGTGCATGTGATGTCAGTATTATCTCATTAGTAAACAATAATGAAAATTTATTTCAGATTTGCATTTTGAAAAAAATGAAAGAAAAAGTAATTTGTGAGTATATAGCTGGAGAATAAATGATAAAGAATGACACGAGTTCAGTAGTACTTTAAAGTACATGTTCAACTTACTTGCAGTCTTCAAAATACGAGAAAGTAGGTATCAAGTATTAAGAGTTATCCTTATTTAATTCCACCCTCTCTTTTCTTTTTTTCTTGAAGATTAATTACTTGCACTGGATATGATGCTGTTCTTTATTTTGGGACTGCTTGTACATTGCGTGTTCTTCGCCTCCATCTTTGACATTTATTTTACATCTCCTTTGGTTCATGGAATGACTCCTCAGTTTACACCATTGCCTCCTCCAGCTAGGAGATTAGTTCTTTTTGTTGCTGATGGCCTGCGAGCAGATAAAATATATGAGTTAGATGAAAATGGAAATTCTAGAGCACCATTTATTAGGTAAGCATGCCAGCTGGTCACAGCATCTCTGGGAACTGTTATTCTGATTCTAGTTATCTCACATTATATATCTCATATTAAAATTTATTTCAGATTTGCATTTTGAAAAAAATGAAAGAAAAAGTAATTTGTGAGTATATAGCTAGAGAATAAATGATAAAGAATGACTTCTAGCTCATTGATTTGCATACCTGTGGGAAGATAGTCCCTGCTTCTGAGTTTGTAAAGGGTTATGTGAAGGAATTATGAGGGTTGCTACCTAACCAAGGCTCCTGGGGGTAATGATGAGAAGAAACAGGACACGAGTACATTTGCATTTGTCTTGTGGATTGGCAACTTGTTTTTTTTTTTTACTTCAGTTATTTCTAGAGGAGATTAGTATCAGGTGAATCAAAATTTATGCTTTTAACTGGTTGACTAATTTATCTTAATTTTTAAAAATAAGGACTATCATAAATATTAATGAACTGTTAATTATAATCATGATTAACTAGAAAATATAGACTTCAACTTAAGATACATCTTTTATGAAATATATAAAACCCTTCCAAGTCTGTATTACTGTTCATTGTAATTTTAGATTCTGTTAAGTGACTTTGAAATGTTTAATGTTTGAATTTATGGGGCCCCAACATATAATTGTTCTTTTCCCATTTAATAGCAAGTTCCTCAAAACCCTTCTCTATGATGTTGCGAAGTATTTAAAATTCAAAAATTCAAATTCAGTTGGAAATCTATCTAAAATGTTCCATCTTTCTCTGTATCCATCTGTCATCATTACTTTCTATCTGCCCTGTTTTACTTTTCTGTATAGGACTTAGCATGTACATGTTCCTTGAAGTCTGGGGCTTTGCTTTTATCTATCTCTAATTCCTAGAACATAGTAGATCATTAATAAGTATTTGTTGATTCCCAGAAGAATGAATAGACATGAATTTTATGTTGACTTTCCAAAAATAAATTTATGGTGGTTTAAAGAATTTCATAATATACTAAAGGATTAAAAAAGAGAGAGAGCAACTCAGGACAATTTAGGAAAATCTGAGTAGGAAAATAGATCAAACCAGGATTAAGTTCAATACTCAAAAATGTATAACAGATTCCTACAAGTGTCAGTATATAACTGGTTGGTTTAAAATATTTGAGGGCTATATTTAGGTGAATTTCTTAGTTGCCAAAGAAAGATAAGAAATAACAGGCCATTGAGGATTTCCTAGTGGTGGAGGTGTTGAAGACTGTCAGGCTGTCAAGGGCTGTCAAGCTGTCTCTAGCCACTGCGGCCTGAGTTTGATCCTGGCTGGGGAGCTGACCCACATGGTGCAGCAGACCTCTCCTTTCACACCCTCTGCTCCCCTTCAGTCAGTAGATTTCAGTCCGTCTGCCTGTTCTGCTCCCTACTCTGTCTCTGGTGACTCCTCTCTGCCTTTTCTGGCAGTCCTGGTTTTTCATGTGGGTGTTCTCCCACATGGGATGTGCCTTGTGTTGTAGTCTATTGTATACTTACAATTTTAGGAATCTTCCTGTTCATTATAAGTCTGTTTTGGAAAGGTTTTATTTGTACTGTGCTTCATTACTTAAAAAATTTAATCTGTCTTGATAAAATGTTTTAAAACAGAGGTATCCAAATTTCTTGAGATCTCCTCTTGGTATTGCATTTTTATCCTTTAATATGTGGATTAATGGTTTTATGGCCTTTTACTTACTATTTATATTCTATCCAAATTGGTTTATTACAAGCTAAGTCAATATTAAAAGTATCTAAACTAGTACTTATATTTTTGTACAGAGTTTGAGAGTCAAACATTTATTTTGAAAATGTTGCCACTTCAGTCTGTGATGCAGCTTGTTGCTGAGCTGGCTTTCCACCTGCAAGGTGGAGCTAGTGCTTTTGCTTTCTACTTGACTTCTTGTATGAATCATTGTGATACAACTGAAAAATGCTGATACATATTAGCAAAAGAAACATATTGTTTTAATCTCCAGTTGAGCAACATAGTCTCACTCCTAGCTAGGAGGGTAGCCATTTTCCTTCCCTCAATTTTTCATTTTGAGAACTTGCCACCTTTAGAAAAGTTGAAAGGATTATATGGTGCACACCCATAGACCCTTAACCTAATTTGAACAATTTTCAGGGTTTTTCCCCCCATATTTGTATTTCTTTCAGTACACACTTCTGCACACCTGAACACACATGCTTAAACTTTAATCTGTTTGTTCTCTAACATGTGAAAGCATGATTTTTTTGAGGCTTCATCTCTAAACTCTAGCATGCAATGGCTTCAAGGACATTCTCCTACATGATCATCATCAAACCTAATAAAACTTCACATTGATAGAATAGTGTTGTGCATATATTTTGTTCCTTGATAATAAGCCATGTCAATAGTTCATGGGTTAAAATGGGAATAGTGTATTTTGTCTCATGATTCTGAGCAGTAGGTGGGTAGTTTTCCTTCCTTGCACCTAAGCTCACTTCTGGTTTTCATCCCAGCAGGTCAAAGAGCTAGGACTGGGTTCAATGGGATCAGAAAGATTCCGTCTTAAATTATGACTTGCTTATTTTGGGTTTGATTCCTTCTGTAATAATCTGACTTTTCTAAAGCCTTAGCAGTGACTTGATCACAGTCTATGTTAACTATTTCCTGCAATATTTTTTAGGAGTATCATAATGCATGAAGGCAGCTGGGGGATATCGCACACCCGTGTGCCAACTGAATCTCGGCCAGGTCATGTAGCCCTGATAGCTGGGTTTTATGAAGATGTTAGTGCTGTTGCCAAAGGTATTGTCTGCTTAGATAATTTTGTCACCTGAAAAATTTATTGCATAAATACTGTTTCTTTAATACTGAATCATGACACAAAGTGAAGGCTGTCTTATGATACTTCTGACAAGTGGCTTAACATGCCTTACCTCTGGAGAGGTGTGCACACTACTATTGACTTAAGAATTAAGCTTCAGTCTTTTATCATTTTGTGTTATTGAAAGGTGATTAGCTGGATCTGTATGGTGGCTGAAGCCCAAACTGTTACAAGTGGTGCACCCTGGAGGAGAGTGCTGGTGAGGACAGACAGTCCCAGGGAAAATGCAAACAAAGTATTGCATTTTGGGGTGGAGACTGATACAAAACATAAGATACTGCAGAAACAGCTCTCCACATTTAGTGTGGAGATTCAGCATTTGAGGATTTGGTGGTCCGGATTCAGCATTTGAGTATTCAACACTTGGAATTCAGTGTTTTGGGATCTTAAGCATTTCTGGGGTCAGCGATTTTGGCTGGCTTGCCAACTGGTACAGGCAGCAAGGAGCACTAAAACCAACCAAGGACACTACCCAATAGCTCATGGTCATTGTCTTAGTCTTCACATGTGTGCACAATGACAAGACTACTGAGGTTCAAAGAACAGTAATGGGATTTATTTAACAAACCAGGGAAAAACAGAGTTGCTGAGGCCAAAAATGGCCATTACCCTCAGTGTTTTCAAGTGCTAAACAAAAAGCATCTAAGATGGCATCTTCTTGCCATTGAGTACACAGAGCTCCTCTCTTGAACAAAAGCCCATGTGCCCAAGATGGCATCTTCCTGTCACTGTGGACTTAGAACATGCAACAGCCAGACTGTAGGCCAGGTTCCACTCATGCAGACAATGGAAGACACAACAGGAGATGCCCCAGAGCTACCGAGATGCCCCAGCACAACGCTAGACAAGCGATACTCAGAACAGCAGTTGGTGTGGCTGAGTGACTGGGTGAACAGCCACACTCACGCAGCTCAGCGAGGTGCGCAGCTCTGGGTCTTCACCTGATCTGCTAGACTCTAACAGCAGCAAACACAGAAGTTTTATTTGCTGGGCTACTTGCAAAGCCTCTAAATTTTTCCTTTCTGAGGTTGGCTGCTGAAGGCCTCCTCAGGTCCATTAGAGGCCCACACCACCCTTCTGGAAGACTGGTGTGGTGTGGGCTGGAGTTGCTGAAGATTCGAAAATGCTAAATCCCAAAGGCTGAATGTTCAAAAGGCTGATTCCCAAACACTGAACCCTCAAACGCTGAACCCTCACATCGAATTCTGAAGACTGCTTCTGCATTCCATTGTATTTCTTCCCAGTCTCCACCCCAAACTTTGTTTGCATTTTTCTTGGGACTGTCTATCCTCACCAGTAACCCCTCCAGAGGGCAACACCTGTGACAGTCTCTGGCTTCCATGGTTTTCCTACATGTCCAAAGTTCCAAAGTGAGTCTTTATTTCAGTAAGAAGTAAATTGTTTATTCTGAGGTTTTTGAAAGTATTGTGGCAAAATATATGTAACATAAAATACGTAAAGTAACAAAGTCAATTATTAATTTTGATTCTGTTCTGCAACTAATGCCCATTGTTACCGAGAGAACTTCTTCAGGGGCAATTCTCCATGTGTATATTTGATTCTGTTGCTTCTTTTCTCAATGGCCTGAAGGATGGAAAGAAAATCCTGTAGAGTTTGATTCTCTTTTTAATGAAAGCAAGTATACATGGAGCTGGGGAAGCCCAGATATCTTGCCTATGTTCGCCAAAGGTAAGAGTCATTGATTATGTTTCCTTAGAGCATAAACAGGCGATAAATTAAAATGGCAGTTTTTTATATATGACTTACTCCCTTATATTGATTTTGAGATACATGTTTTCACACTTCGTGTCTCGCTGAGATAGAGATGTGTGTTACAATGGCTAGACCTATCAGTTTTTCTGTATTTGACTCCTCTATCCTAGTTGCACTTGCAATGTTGAAATATTCAGCTATTAGTATTTTAGATGTGATGAAATGATTTATGGCTCTAACATTTAACTGCTTTATAATGTTGGGCAAGTTAGATAGTATCGCTGAACTTCAGTTATCCTTTTTGGCAAAATGTAGTAACTATTATTACTTCCATGTGAAAGAGTTGTTTTTAGGATTAAGTTAGATACTTCACGTGCAACATTTGGTAAAGTGTTTATCACATTAACTTCTCATGTGTGGATGTTGATGTTTAGTACATTTGACAAATTATTAAGGTATTCTTAGATACATGAAAATGAATATTAAAGTTTGTAACTATCTTTCTATCTTTACAACTTAATTCATGTCTTTGGGGTTTGTTGTTTGTGCCTGTGTATGAATCTTCACATATGACAACATCTCTTGATTAGAAAATTCCTTTATATTAAAGTCAGTTGGATGCCTTTTGAATTTTATTTCATGAAAAAATTTTTTAAAGATTTATTTATTTATGCATACAGAACTGGGGTACAGGCCAGAGGTGCAGGGGCGGTGAGAGGATTCACCAGAGACAGAGTGGGAGCAAAACAAACAGATTGACAAAGCACACTGCTGAGGGGAGCAGCGGGCAGGTTAGTAGGAGAGGTCTGCCAAGCCATGTGGGTCAGCTTCCTGGCCGGGGATCGAAATTGTGCTGCAGCGGCTTTGGAGAGCTTCATAATGTGGTGCTTTAACCCATTTTGCCACCAGGGAGAGTCCTCATGAAGTGGTTTTAATGGGAGCAGAATGGCCATTCCATTTCATGATGCATTTGCATTGTTATTCTTAGGCATAGTATAGTTTTTATCATTATAATTACTGTAATGATGTTATAAAAGCATAATATATACTTAGGATTTTATGTATGATCGTAGAATATTATTATGTAGGGCAGGCCAAAAAGCCTCAAACTGCTTGCCATTTATGTACTCCTGACTCGGAAAAGCAGGTTAGCATTGGGGGGATTATGTAGGGAGGATGGATGAAGCTGATCATGGCTGACAGAACAGGACCGATGCCTGAGTCGGAGAAAGTCCATAGGAAGGGCAGCCAGCAACCAGCCAGGCCTGTCCTTAGGGCTTGGGAAGTAGAATGGCTGAGCAGTAGAGTCATGTCCTTAGGCTGAGCACGTAGGAGGTTGCTACTGCTTTGTTACAGTATTCCTTGTCACCCGTAAGAGCCCGTTGAATGCAGACATCACTAACCTGTAGATTCTTCACAAAATCTTGCAAATGTAATTAATATATTTGTTGGTTCCTTCAATTCCCTGTATTAAGGAAAATATACATTCTGTGAACAAGAGAAATATTTGAATTCTTCTTGCTTTCGGAAAGTTTGTCAACCACTTATTTTAGATTATAAAATCCTAAAATGCGCTTATATTTGAATAGTTTAATCTTTACAGGGAGGCAAACTTTGCTTATTTTATGCCATTGTGTATTAGCATTGTGACTTTGGCAAGTTAATTAACTTGCATGTAGTGTGCAGAGAGATATTTGAAAACAAAAACAAGCAGCGTTTGGTAAATGTTCATTATCCCACCCATCTTCCTCTTCCCCATTGTGAAAAATTCTGGTTACTCACAAAAATCTGCAAAAGGCTAGCTGGATAGTTCTCCTGCCCACCTGTGGCTATGCAGGTTCCTCTCTTTTTCTTTCTCCTTTTCCTAATAAGCCTGTCCTTTTAACATGTAAAGAAGAAAAGAAAAGAAGCATAAAGGACAAGTTCGTATTTTTAACAGTTTAAAGGGCTGTTAACCACCCCCCCCCTTTTCTTTTCAGGTGCTAGTGGAGACCACGTGTTTACACATACTTATGACTCTGAAAACGAGGACTTTGGTTCCCAAGATGCATCAAGACTGGACACCTGGGTTTTTGATAGAGTTAAGGTGTGTGCTATCGGGTGGGGTTATTCTACAGTGCATACATTTGTACCTGAAGTAGTAGAAATGGGTTTTTTTAGTAAGTGTAGTTTATTTTTTTCCCTCCTTACTTTAACTTCAAAGTTCTGTGTTATAGCACACTGTATTAAAAGACTGAAGTATGTATTTCACATATTTGTCAAAATGCCAACTTTTTGAAAAGTATCTATTGGCTCAATGAGTATTTCCTAGCTTCCCAGATCTTTTGTTCATTTAAGAATGGACTATACTTATTGCATAGCTGAGTATTTCTTTTTTAATTAAATGCAGCAATGGAACAAATTACAACTTTAACTCAGGCTCATTTGCTAAGTTTTGTGGGGTTTTGCTAGCTTTCAATTATGTCTTTGGAATTTGACTCTTCTCTTACAGAACCTACCATCCGACTTTTGTTGGAAACTTAAATATCTCTTCTTAAAATGAATGTCTTAGAGATATTTATGTAACTAATAATTACATGTCTTGACTTTATATTGACCTATTTAAAATAAGTTAATTGTGGTTTCCATAGAAACTTGCTTTCATGTTCATGGATGTTAGTGGAGTGAATGCTTTCCCTCAGAAGAGCTTTCCCATTCTAGTTTTCATTCTGGAATTAATATAAACATTTTGGAAATAGACTTCATTAAGTGGATATTTTTCAACCCTGCAGCATGAAGAATAGATCTTAGCCTTGGGTTAAAGGAAGTAGTTATGAGACTGCAGTCTTGCAAATGGATGACTACGGATGGTAGCAGACAGGACAGTAGGTGGGCAGCTCTGAAAACGCTTGCAAGTTATAAAGCAGTCCTAAGCTGTTGTTCCTAGTAGTCTTTCTTGTTAAATTATTTCTTTAGTCTGCTGTGTTACTGAGGTAACATTGGCTGGCATTATTGCTCATTATTGTTGGGGTTTGGGAAGGATAGGATTCCCTTTCAGGTATTGTCACTGTAGTGAGAGCTGCAGTGATTAATATTATGAAATCAAGATTTCCAAACTTTTATTTGACCTAATTATAATGTAGAAAATCATTCCCTTTTTATTTTTTTTAAGATTTATTTATTTATGCATGCAAGAATTGGGGTACAGGCCAGAGGTGCAGGGGGTAAAATGATTCACTAGGCAGAGTGGAGAGCAGAACAGGCGGATCAACTGAAATACACTGCTGAAGGGAGAAGCCAGTGAGACAGGAGTGGTCTGCTGTGCACGTGGGTCACTTCTCTGGCTGGGGATCGAACTCATGTTGCTGTGGCTGAAGATGGTTTCATAGCATTGTGCTTTAAACCTTTTTCACCATCAGGGAGGTCCCTCCCTTATTATTTGAACACAAAAAGATGTGAACCGACCAAAGCTTTGTTTTGTTATGTCTTCTTGTCAAATTTAAATCAAACAAGATTATTTAATTTTAGAGTTAATGTGTTAATGTGAACTAAATCTTTTCCACTGATTTGTTACATACAGGAATTCTTTCATGCTACCAGAAACAACCACTCTTTGTTTTCTCAAGTAAATGAAGACAAAATAGTTTTTTTCTTACATTTGTTGGGAGTAGATACAAACGGACATGCTCACCGACCATCATCTAGGTAATTTTTGTAAGATGCTTACTTTTATGTTTTTGAGGGTATCAGCTATTCTGTTTCAGCTTTTAAAGTGTTATGATGTTTTCTTTGTAATCATCACAGCATAACTTTTATTTTAATTAATTCTAAAGTAGAATATAGCCTCAATTATGTGAGCTGTACATGGGTTGAAATCCCATGTGTTGGCCATATTGCAAACTAATGTAAGTATTTCTTGTACATATATGAGATACTCCTTGTCTGTCAGTGTTATTGAGAGGGGAAGTGAGGCATATCTTAGAAATATTTCCATAATTTTTTTAAAGATTTATTTTTTATTTGTTTATGCATGCAGGAGCTGGGATGCAGGCCAGCTGCGTGGGGGTGGGGGTGTGTGAGAGGAGTCACCAGAGACAAAGTGAGGAGCAGAATAGGCAGATGGACTGAAATCCACTGGCGGAGGGGAGCAATGGGAGAGACAGGAGAGGTCTGCTGCACCATGTGGGGTTGGTTTCTTGGCCGGGGATTGAACTTGTGCTGCAGTAGCTGCACAAGTGCTGAGACTTAACCCCTTACACCACCAGGGAGGCCACAATTTCAGTAAATTCTTAAAAGCTTTTTATGGTGTTGCTATATCATCACAAGGCATAATTCACTATTCCTTGTATTCTACGTAATCAACATCATATCTAGCAAATAAGTATGTACAGTTTTGTATGCTGTTTCACCAGTATTCCTTATATAGAACAGCATGTATTTGTCTCACTTTCGCAGACCGTAAGACAGAGGAAGTATCCACGTTATGGTTCTAAATTTTGAATCTGGATTAGATTAGTCTGATTGTAACTGAGAAGCCTGTTGGTTAACTACCAGTCGTGAATACCTCACACATCTTTAACATGCTGCACTGTTGAAATTATAGCATTCATACCAAACCAACCTCGTTCAGCTGTATGGAAAGCTTAATACATGGCATTATATTGCATTATACTAATTATATTTTATATCAAAAACACTCTAGGCGATGAAAATATTCTTTATTTGGAACAGGGATATAGCAAGAACAGTATGGTTTGTGTTATGTGATAGGTGAACTTGAAAGTCAACATTATTACATTTAAGACTTAAAAGAACATGCATTTAATTTTGCTAACCGATCCCTCCGTTTAAAAGCATTTCTGAAAGTTTTTAGGTTCTTTTGCTTCTTTAAAAGGAAAAATTTAATTTTAACAATTTCTAAAGCTCTTTGATTTTAAGATATTGAAATATAAAAATTTTCAGGAATTATTGACTTTGAATATAATGTATTCATACTGAGTAAATTTACCAGGTTAATGTAATTTATTCTTCTATTTTTTTTTAAATAGGGAATATGAGGATAATATTAAGGTAGTTGATGAGGGAATAAAAGAAATTGTGTCTGTTTTTAACCATTTTTATGGAAATGATGGGAAAACAGCATTTATTTTTACTTCTGATCATGGAATGACAGACTGGGGTAAGTGTGTCTTTCAGTAATACAGAATTTACAGTTAAGGTAGTGGTAAATGCAGCTTGCAGATATAATGTTGAAGAGAATTAGATGACTCAGTCTATGTAAAATGCCTAGCACATCATCATTACATACTTAAAATGTTAATATTTATAAAAGACTATTTTTTATGAAGAATCTTCTAGCTGTAAAAGGAATTGTTTTCATATAAAAGGAGAAATTAGAGAACAGTGTGGGAAAGAAAACAAAAGTACCTATTTATTTAGAGTTGACTCTACATGATGACAAAAAGGGTGAGTTGTTTGTGTGCTTTTTTGTTTTTTAAAAAGGTTTATTTGTTTATGCATACAAGAACTAGGGTATAGGCCAGAGGTGGGGGGAGGGTGAGAGGATTCACCAGAGACAGAGTGGGGAGCAGAACAGGGAGATCCACTGAAATACACTGCTGAGGAGAGCAGCGGGCCAGACAGGAGGGGTCCAGGGAAGCCCCCCCACCCCCATTCATGTGCTTTTACTGAGTGACCTAGGATTACTGAAAATGCAGCCTGGTGAGCCAGTCCTCCTGAGAGATATCCAGGGTAAATCCAACATATGCATAGAGAAAAAGGAAGATGAAGCTGAGGTTTGAGTCAGTCAAACAAAGGAGCTAACTAGAAGCCTTGTTGGCTAGCACCACTTTATAAGGACTTTGCTTCTCCACCCAGAGTAAAGGTGTGTTGGGACTTTGCTGTCCTTTCCTGAGCAGACCTTGTCCCCTGCTCGTCCCACATTTGGAGGACCACTTCCCATTTGGGGTTCCCTGTGCCTCCTGCCTGTGGTTCCACTCTCATGACATCACCTCCAAGTGTTAGGATTCTTTCACTCTGGTGTCAAGGACACACCAGCACGTCCCTTGGGGCACGCCGAGAGACAAGGCATGGAGCGGGTTTGCAAGGCAAGACTCTTCTGCCCAGTGAGCAGCTCTCCTGCTATTTACTTAATAATAGTGAGTAAGCGTGATTGATTATGTGACAGTGGCAGAAGAACTGGGGTCCAGAAGAAACAAAGGTGGTCAACCTTATGGCAGCAATACCCAGAGGAGACAAAGGGTGGTCAGCTTTGAAGGGGAACATGAGGGGGCGTATCGGCCACATATTCAGGGGATCCCCTTGCAGGGGCTTGGTGTACTTCCCAAGCTCCTCCCAGACCGTCTCAGACGCTGACCACACAGCCAGTCAGTCAGTGACTGCCTGGCGTCCCCAGCTGCCTGTGATGCGTGTCATGGTCTCAAGGCGGTCATGCAGGGGCGCCTTACCCAGTTATTTCACACACATGAGGTGCAGAGAGGCCGAGTCACAGGTGCAAAGGCCTAGGTGGAAGGGGACCACACTTTCAACCAGCCAGTATGCGTTCTGCTGTTAGATTTTGTTTGTTTTGACGCTTGACTTGCTTTGACAATGTTTAAAACTAATTGAATCCACAGTTGCAAACAATAAATATTTAGGTATTAATCAGTTCTCAGGTACTTTGTGCTTCTTCTTACCTTGCTGTCTTGTAGGTTCCCACGGGGCTGGTCATCCTTCAGAGACATTAACACCTTTAGTCACCTGGGGAGCTGGAGTTAGGTACCCCCAAAAAGTGTCAGCTCAACAATTTGATGATGCATTTTTGAAAGGTATAAACATTTATCTTTATTTTTTTTACAAACATAGCCTGTAAGAACCAAAAGCAAAGGCTAATTTAAAAAGCCCTTTTTCAAGTGATAGTTTTCATTTTGATATTTGTATCATTATTATTTCTATTGCTTTTGTATCACTTCATATTATTTTATTTATAACATTCAGCTTGAAAGTTATAGTCTTACTTGCTTACAAAAGTGTAAATTAGGTGTTGTAGTGCTCTTTGTAAAGTCTATTACTGGGATTTAGATGAAATCCTTGAATCAGATCTTAGCCAGCAATGACTGTGAGTCAGACAAATCACACATGTATTACAATTGATGTTTCCCAACTCTACAGATTGTGTCCTTTCTAGATTTTTGGAAGACTTTATGTGGCCCAAACCTCATTTGCTTCTCACTCTATAAAGAAAAGGGACTCTCTTTTTTCCTGGCACTCTGAGTATTTTGTAAGGTAAAGTTTCTTTGAGTTCCATAGTTTTCACTAGTTGGACAAAACAAATTCCTCACAAATGCTTTATTCCAAATTAGTTTTATCCAAAACACTTATTAAAAATATAGATTTTAAAAATACAGATTTCTATACCTCAGCAGTAGCTATTTGATTCTGTGAATGAGTGAGGTCCCAAATTTATCTTTTTAAAACTTCTGGGGATTCTGAACTCACAGCTCTGTTTAGGTATTTCTACCATAAGAGACCCTTTAAAAAAAAAAAATGATGCATGTGTCTTCCAATGATTTGTTTTGATTTTTTAAAATTAATTTGCAATCAATATGCAGATTCAGTATTGAGCTGGGGGTAGGGGGTGTTGGGGGATTTGAGAGGATTCACTTGAGACAGAGTGGGGAGCAGAACAGGCAGAGCTACTGAAGCACACTGCTGAGGGGAGAAGCGAAGAGAGGTCTGTTGCACCATGTGGGTCACCTCCCTGGCAGGTAATCAATTTGTGCTGCAGATAGCTTCATAGTGCTGAGACTTAACCCCTCATGCCACCACTGAGGCCCCTTGAGGTGTAATTCTTACACCATAAAATTTAATTTTTAGTATATTCACAAGGTTGTGCAATTGCCTCTATTATAGGGATATGCTTTACAAAGCATTTCATTACCTCAGACTCCTTACCCATTTTCCATTACGCACTGACCACTCAAAGTAATGAGGTGATTTATTCTGCTTTAAATGTTAACATCAGCTCTTGTTTTACATCTTTCAGAATGGAAGTTGGAGAACTGGAAGAGGCAAGATGTCAATCAGGTATTCATTTTAATTTAATTATGTCCAAATTTAATTCTATCTTCTATAAGAGGTCTAAAAAAAAAAAAACAAACCTGGAAATATTTATTAATAAGAATGGTTTTTCAAAAACTTTTCAGTAACCAAAGAAAATAATCTTAGTACAGATATTTAAACCCAATTAATTTTTTTCGACAAAATATAAGTTGCCTCAAGTAACACCAAAAGGAGATGACTCCCTCTAAATAAGACTGGCTAATTAAATAGTTGTTAAGTAAATTAAAATCAGCATGCATGTTAAAATTCTGGGATTTCTTGTCATTGTCTTGCTTGATTGCATAGGTGCAAATCTAATAAAATTTTTCCTGAAGTGTCTCAGTTACCATTTCTCTTTCATTAACACATGTTGTATCTTTAGTTCTACCCAGCAGATTTGTAAATCTACAAATACAATTGGAGAAAAGTGATAAGGATATATTCTGCTCAGCCAGAAACTTTGTATTATAGATACATACATTGCTAACTAATCAAGATAAACTAACTTTATGTATAAATATGAGGTTGTGTGAATAGCCATCTTCACTACTTTAGAAGACTTGATACCATTAGTATATCGCCTCCTAAGTGGTAGGAATATCATACCTTCCCCAGGTCACCTCACAAATTGACCTTCCCTACTGTGGTGGGTAAAGCAACATTGAGAATCTCACTTTCAGGCCTGTGATTGTAGAAGCCTGCTTTTTCTTGACATGTGAGGAATGTGATGGATGTGTATTACCTGTGTAATGAAAATACATAAAATCAGAATAGCAGCTTTTTCATTTGCAATAAAAGTCACTTTAAAAGGATAGGAATAACTTGAAGATCATTAAACAAGACTATGTTTTTCTTAAAACTGAAACTGAATATAGATTTAGCTATTGCCATTGAATATTCCCACTTCAGATCTATATTAGATGAGAATTTATTTATTCCTTCCATCAACATTGTCATAGGTCTGTGGTGTGTTTAAACACTGTATAAACATTAACATTGAAATAATTCTGAACTGTAAAGGATATAGTGGTGAATAGAAGTAGATGTAGTCTCCACCCTGGAAGCTATAATTTAGAATGAGAACAAATACTAATCAAATTATTATACAAATAGATGTAAAACTATAAGTATGATAATACTACAGAAGAGGCCTTTGGAGCCAGCAAGAGCAGAAGAGTAGATGCATTTGATAGACTAGTCAACAAAGGCTTCCTGAGAAGCTGAAGATTGGGCTCAGATGGAAAATAAGAGTTACCAAGTAGGAAAAAGGCTTTTCAGGAACAGGGAGCAAAGTGTACACAGTTGGTACATGCCATACTTTGTGAATCTGAGGATAACTGGTACACTGAGAAACAGAAACTGGTGTGGCATGAGGCTCTCAGTCATGCAGACCCTTATGGTCATTATGGACTTAGTCCTGGGGAAGCCCTGGCAGTGTTTGAAGCCTGGAGGGTGACATGATCTTTTATTTGTGAAAGGATTTCTCTAGAATCAGAACTGAGAGCTTCTTAGAGAAGGTCAACAGTAGATTCAGGGGGAAGGAGAGAAGGTGATTAGGAAGGAGGTCACTGGAGTTTTCCAGTTTTCCCTGACAAGGAAGCCAAGACATTGAAGAGGTTAAATAATCTGCCCAAGGTCTCAACAATTGCTGGCAAGGATTTGAAACTGGCATTCTGACATCAAGCACTTTGCTACTTGAAAAATTATAAGGACCAAAAAGCTGTCAATGAGGTTTAGAAAAATAAAACATACTAACTCTCTTAAGGAAAACCACTTATGGAATGACCCAAGTTCAAGTTCAAGTGGACTGAAGAGCAATGGAGAGTCTGTACATGTGGGGATGGAACATGTAGTATGGACCGCTTTCCTGGGAAACCCACTTGAAGGGGAGCTTTCCAAAGCAGTATTTGGGGTCTTTTGTCCACAGAGCTACTTGCCTAGTTTATATTTTCTTTAGTTCACATTTATATTTCTCCAGCTAAACCCTACCAGGGGCTATTAGTGGTTTCTTTACACAGTTTTTTTTTTTTTATGAATTCATTTACTTGTTGCAAGTGACATTTTTAGAGATCAATATCAATAAAGGTTTGAAGGAAGTGGATTATAATGAAGATCATGGTAAATTCTAAAATCTGTTTGTATTAAATTTTTTGTTTATTGATGCCTGTAGACTTTGTGGAAATGAAGTTTTTTTGTTTGTAGGCTGATATTGCACCATTGATGGCGTCTCTTATTGGAATTCCCTTCCCCCTTAACTCAGTGGTAAGGAATACAGTTTTATTACCAAATCTCAGAATCAAGAAGATTCTTGTTCAATAAATTTATTTGTATGTTTCTGAATGATCGTGATTACATTTTAAGTCATTCCTTTCAAACTTTTATACTTATCCAGATATGTATTATATTGTGTATAGATTATCATCTATAACATGGAATGTAGTAATTGTATTTCTTTCCAATTTTTTATTTTCTAAAATGTTCATAGATTCTTAGCTTTATACTTTACTTTTAAGTGATGAAAATGTATAAATTTGTGACTGCAAGCAGCAGAGTCAGAATTAATCTGATGAATGGAATATGGGTGGTTTTCTAAATCAAAGGCAGGAATCAAGAGAACTGAGACTGACGAAGGAACCAAACCAGGGTCCCACAGCTGGGCCTGCCTACTCAGGATGCCAGTGCCAGGGAGAATAACCTTACATCCGTGTCTTGACTAAGATTTGATTTCCAGCACATACATTTGAGTGGGGAGGGCAGAACCCCATCAGAGAACCTCTGTGCTGTGTCCAATGGGGAGTTTGAGGGTCTGGCTGTTAAGAGTGGGAACCTGGTACTGAAAAGTCAAGAAGCAAACATATATTCTTTCCAATGAGCTCGCTTTTTAACTCTTCAAATTAACTTACTTTAAAAAATATCTTCTATCTTAGGACTCAAGTGAATATAATATGATGCATATAGTTATAAGTGTGAATATAATATGATGCATATAGTTATAAGT